TTTATAATTTTTATTTTTTTAACGATTAAAGCAAACTCAATAAATCACCGTGAACATATTAGTTTTAGGTATAGATAACGAACCATTATCTGACCAGACTTTTCCTTTAACAGAAAAGGTTCCACGCAGTACTGGCCTCACCCTCGTCAACCAAATAAGCTGCATACATGTGCTAGTGGTTCTATTAGGATCTAAATTATATTAGTGATGCCAAATTTAATGCAGCATTTGCAGGGATGTGCAGAAACCATCAATCCCAACATTAACTTATGTACTAAAGCTGAGTGTCATTACTTCCTAGGCAGCAGTCCAGCATTCCAACAAGATAACAACCCCAAGCTCACCTGTAAGACAACTACTGCCTACCTAAAGGATCTAATGGCAAAGGTGCTACTCTGGCCAAGCATGTCTCCAGACATAAACTTGTATGAGTGACTAGAAGGTGTCTAACGTCCAGCAGCTTTTGATGCTGACATGAAAGAGGATTCCATAGGCCGACTGTGAAGCTCTATTGAATTCTGAATCCTTATTCTTTAATGATATCTGCTTTCTTATAGTAAATAACCTGCTTGGGCATCTCATAGTCATACTTTACAATGGTGATAAATTAGTGTAACTGTGTTTTGTTTGTGTGTTCCTCTTACGATGCCATTCAGGTTGGCGTCCCACAACAGCATGGTTCCATCAGTGCGCGTTGGTGAGTTCAGGTACAGAACCAGAGTGTCGGCACAGTGCTGCTTCCGGCAAATGTATGACACATGGTTACGGATCACCGCTTTCTCTGTTGCTGAGTACACACCCTCTAAATCTTCTGCACACATAGAAGAACAGAAAAAGAGGTGGTAAATCAGGTCTTAGTCATCTGTTGGTTTGGCTTTGGTGGTAGAATGGAAAATACCTTTATTGTCCCACAATGGGGAAATACTGGTGTTTACAGCAGCAAAAAGATTTTAGAAAAAAATCTCACACAAATGTGGTGGTTAAGTGGGTTCAAATGTATAGTTTTTCTGTTTTTTGTGTGTGTTTTTTTTAGTTTAGTGCTAATATCTATTATGGTCATACATTTCAAATGCATGAACAGTTTGGTTTTGTTTTTTCATTACAAAGAAGTCCAGAAAATTCAATCTGCACCCTTTCACTTGTAAACTCTACAGGATCCACTTTGATTTCCATCAGCTAACTTACTGATTGAATGATCTGCTCGGCTCTCGATTCGGTGAAATTGGTGCGGCATGTAGTAAAAATATAACAACCAATTATCTTATAGAAGAGGGCCGTGCTTCTTGGATGTTTCAGAAATGCACAATGAATTACCCACTGGTACTGCTGTAGATGA